GATCAGACTCGTAGTGATCCTCCTGTTTACAGCCTCCCAAGTGCTGGGATTACAGGCACGTGCCACCACGCCCAGTCTCAATTGCTGTCTCAGTGCTCCCCAGGGTTGGGGCTGGCACAGGAGGCCAGGGGATTGAACTCCTGTCCCTGAGTCTGCCTAAGCAGGCACTTTAATCTGCTGAGCTATTTGGCCAGCCCTTAAGCCTGCTTTTCTATTGGGTAGCATGCAACAAGAGAATTCACTGTATTTTTGATTACATGCTCATTCATGGTTCCTTAATATTAGTGCATATGGAGGTGCCGCATTATTATTTTTCTTTCTGGTATTGGAGATTGAACCTGCAGCCTTCATACTGGGCTATGTCCCAGCCCTTTATAGAATTTTTACTTCAAGGTCTCCATAAGTTGTTCAGGCTGGGCTTAAACTTGTAATCTTCCTAGTTTAGCCTCCCAGGGTGCTGGGACCACAGGTGTGCCCCTTCTTCCTCCTTTTTAAAAGCTTCATCTTATTCCATTGCATAATTCTGTTTTTATTTACCCTATTGAAGGGTACTGGCTTCCAAGACTTTTCTCTTTTAATCAAGACATTTATATTGATACATCTCAACTGGCTTATTGTAGGTGTATCTGTAGAATAAATTCCTAGATGTGGGATTATGAAGTCAAAGACTATGAACATTTAAAATCTTTTTTCTTGTCTCTTGTTTTCTTACCTTTTTTTAAAACGAACATTTACTTTAAAGAGAGTATAGTGAAAATTGATATGAACATTTAAAATCTTGATAACTCTTGCCACACTGCCTTCCAGCATGGCCTCCCAATACTGCAGACAGTGTCTGCCTCCACGTGTCCTCCTCGACACTGACCACTCCAGTTTCTTCTCTTTGCCAATCTGATGTTTAAAAATGTATTTCTCAGTCCTAGCCCAGGTCCGGTGAGTGTGCGGAGAGTTTCCTGCTACCCTGCGCCGGCGGGACCAGTCCCAGCCCAGGCGCAGCATGGGCCGGACCCTCT